ATCCTGTTTCTCTGCTATTCCTCAGGGAATGACTGGCCATGTTGGCCTTATCCACTATCCACTAAGCTCTCGGTTGTCCAGGCAGGTTTAGCTGGTCCTGCCAGGCTAGGCTACAAGGTGTTAGAAAAGGCCACTCTGGTCTCCATCAGCTCTAGCAAGAAAGGCTCCAGAGACTTGTCTAAACATTTCTCAGGACTATGTTTAGAATTTTATGTCCCTTTATTGTTTTTCTATCACTTGGTGGTATAAGGCAATGAAAAGAAATCTAGACAGTCTCAAAGCTCTGAAATCACATAAACCAGGCTCTAAAAAAAAAAACCTTAGAAAGAATACATTAGGTTTATATCACAAACCCACTCACTGCTGTTTGCCATTACTTAAAACATTCAATTTTTCTATAATTTAATTGCTATTTTCATTCAGAAATGGCTGCTTCCACTAGGCCTTTAGGAAGGCAGGATTTAATTTACTATTTATTACAGTTGTCCTAATTTTCCCCTTTGCCCTTTTCTATCCAGCCCACCCCCACTCCCACAATAAATCCCTACACTGTTGTCCATGTCCATGTGTCATTCACACATGTTCTTTGACTAGTCCCTTCTCCTTTTTTCCCTCCATGTTTCCCTCCCCTACTCTCTGGTTGCTGGGTTTCTGTCAGTCTGGTCCATGTTTCCATGTCTCTGGTTTTATTTTTCTTATTAGTTTATTTTGTTCATTAGATTCCACTTATAGGTGAGATAAAAATGAACGAAGGACCTAAATAGACACTTCTCCAAGGAGGACATACAGATGGCCAAGAGACAGATGAAAAGATGCTCAACATTGCTAGTCATCAGAGAGATGCAAATTAAAACCACAATGAGATACCACCTCACACTGGTCAGAATGACCATCATTAATAAATTAACAAACAACAAGTGCTGGTGAGGTTGTGGAGAAAAGGGAACCTAGTGCACTGTTGGTGGGCCTAAAAACTGGTGCAGCCACTGTGGAAAACAGTATGGAATTTCCTTAAAAAGCTAAAAATGGAACTGCCTTTTTATCCAGCAATTCCACTGCTGGGAATATACCATAAGAGTCCTGAAACACAAATTCAAAAGAACCTATGCACCCCAATGTTCATAGCAGCACAATTTACAATAGCCAAGTGCTGGAAACAGCCTAAGTGCCTATCAGTAAATGTGTGGATAAAAAAACTGGTACATTTATACAATGGAACACTGCACAGTAGAAAGAAAGAAGGAACTCCTACCGTTTGTGACAGCATGGATAGAACTAGAGAATATTATGTTAAGTGAAGAAAACCAGTTGGTACACGGCAGAATTTAGATGTCGACAAAGTGAAAGGCATTTCGGGAGCACTCAGGTGCTCTGACAACAGACATGAAACCTCATGGACATCAGCAACCACAAACACATATCTGTCTTCACCAGTCACCTTGCTCCCAAGCAGCACAAAGTTGCATGATGCCACAAGGAGTCCTCAAGACCAGCAGTGACATACTTTAGCAGTAAGTGCAGGGCCTTCCCCAGCATACTGTCACTGTCCAGCCATGCCCCTGCCTAGCTACTTCTAATTAGGAGCTAACTAGGGGAAGAAGCTGCTTGGCACTGGCAGTAACATTGGGATGCTGAGAGACAGCCACCTTCCTGCAAGGGCAACTTGAAACTACCCATACCTGTCCTCATGCCCCATCCCAAATCTCTCCTAAAATTTACATCCACTGGATATATATCCCACCCCACATACACAAATGGCCACAGGAGACCCCTGTTCTTCCCCAGCAAGATTAAGAAAATGCCAATTAGCGTTAGTCTAGTGGGTGCTGCTGATTGTGGCAGGGGGAAAGGGGTTAGGGGCAAGGACACACTTCATTGCTTCTTCGCTCAGTGCCTGGCTCATATCCAGTGAATGACTGAATGAACAAAGAGGCAGAAATTGATGGGGGAAACTGTTCCCAAGACATAGTCCCAGATTAGGATATTCTGAACATACAATTTCTCTGTGGACACCTAACACTTTTCCCCTGAACTGCTGGGAAGTGTTCACTCTGTAGAAGCTACGAGAAATCCACTTATACACTAACAGGCATCTTCTTATAACAGCGAAGTGCCTCTAGGAAGGGTGACATTCAGTACTTGGTAAGATCAGGAGGTCCCCATTATAGCACTACTGACATTTGGGATCAGATCATTTTTCGTTGTGGGGGCTGCCCTGTGCATTGCATGATGTTTAGAGCATCTCTGGAGCAACTGCCTAGTTGAGTTGACTTAAAAAAAACATCTAATGACATTGTCAAATATCCCCTAGAGGCTAAAACCACCCCTGGTTGGGAACCATGAATGTAAATGAATCAGATTACTCTTCCAGTACTGTGTTAAGGGAACTGGCATTTCTTAAAAGAAGTTCTAGGAGGATAAATAGGTAATTGGGAGGCAAGAAGCCTAGTGAAAAAGCACATTCCTGGGCAGGAGGACTGAATGTGAATAAATGGAGGCACCCAGAGTGTTATCTAGATTTGTATCTGTGTCCAGCAGAGAATTCATTTTATTCCTCACCCTATCACTTCCCTCTTTGGAGTATAATCTAGGTTAATGGTCCTAGTCATGAAATGGAGTTACAGTTTGGGCCTGAATCATCTGTCATCATGTAAAAATACATCTTGAATTTGTGAAATGGGAAACATAGCCCATTGCTAAGCAGTGCAATATCCACATTTCCATTTTACTGAAGAAAAAAAATCTAAGCCTTGAGAAGCAACAACACCCATATTGAGCTCTCAGGGGCAAAACTTTCAAGTGTTTATTAACAAAATTAGACATAGGCAGTGAGTGAGGCAGTGTGTCTTCAGACACAATCTTAGCTATTGATTGTCTTCACTTGCCATGCAGAGTGTAGCCCTAAAGGAACCTCTGAAAGTCATTTAATTATTTCTTGAATTCAGAATGGGAGACCTTGCTACCTAGCAGCCCCTGGACCTTCTGCCCCTGAAGAGGGGTTCCATGCGACCCACTTCTAAATGTAATAGAACATACATTCCAAGTAAAAACATACTTGAATTTTTTCTCTCAGTAAATTTGTCTTTCTGCTACCATTCTCATCTGGTCCATACACAGTGTGATTGTATATGTGCCCATCCCATCACTGACTGGGAAGGGAGCTCCCAGTCTGGTCACAGAGACCAGTACATAGGCACTAAGGCAACAATGGATGGGGACAGTGAGAGAAGGCATGGCCAGGTCTATCATGAGGAGTGGAGGAAGGAGCCACCTCACCTATCCAAGAAAAGGTAAGTCAGGTGGAAGAAAGATGATCACTGAAGCAAATCTGAGCGTAGGAGCCAGACTCAGTACTAGAAAAGCAGCCTGAGTTGCTACAGTGCAGTAACTGGAAGCATTTTGGAGCTTGGAGCAGAAAGTGTAACATGGGGAACTTGGACAAATTCATGATAGTTACTCCATGAAAACTGGAGAGCTGCCCATTGATGACAATGAATGGAATAGTTTAACGTATTTCCCCAAGGCCAGGGGTCGGCATTTGTAGCCCTTACACTAAGGCCTAGGCAAAGCAATGCTGGCAGATTCTTCCGTAGTTCTGAAACTATTGCTGTCTCTTCTCTCTTTAAACTCAGAATTATGTGTATTTTGTGTTCAGAACTTTAGAAAAATTAGGTCCTCCTTCAGGTAACAGTGGTGTGTTGGCAGAGCACTGTGATATACAGGCTTCAGGGCACCAATGTACAGTGAATCTGGATACTACAAGTACCAGACTGCTGGGACAACAGAGGGCCACAGGGAAACCACTGTGATGTGATGAAAGTCATGTTCATAGGACTGCAGGGGACTGTGGACCAAATTGGGGATCCAGGGAGATAGAGGAAGGGAAACAGCAAAGGACAAGAGAAAGCAGGAGGGAGAAAGAGGAAAGAAGTTCTTGGGGCTAAAGCATGACTCTGATCTTCTAAGAGCTCCCAGGAGCCCTGGGCTGGACTACACCATACCCACCAGATGGCCGCACCCCCACATTTGTGATCTCCCAAAACCAGTTACTAGAGAGCCCTGGTCTTGACACACACTCTGATGGGCTGAGTATTGTGAGGGAATTCTGCCTCTTTTGCCCACCACCAAACCCAACAATTTATAAGTACCTAAATTCACCATTCCCAAGGCTTTCATTAAAAGCCACCAGATTCATATATTGTAAAACTAGCTTAGAACAGAAAATTCCAGTGGCCCTTGGTCTATCAGGTATTGACCATACAGCAGTTTAGCTAAATGTTAGTGTTTTATTTTCTAGAGGAGGAAGGGGGTTCAGAAGTAGCTGAAAAAAAAACAAACAAAAAAACCCCTCAAGAGCACTACTAAGGGCTGTTCTGTAAGCCCCCAATACATCCCAACCTGACTTGCTACCCCTGAGGAGGCCTTGAGCCCTTGCTGTCTCATTGCTACCCCTCCAGCTTGCCCACACACTCGGCACTGTTGAAACTCCTCAGAGTCTTACAAATGCAGATAGTGAGCATGAGTGCATTTAAGAACAGGTCTCTCCATAACAGCATGGATGGATCTCATAAGCGTAATGTGAGTGAAAGAAGGCAGACACCAAAGAGCATCTACTGTATGATTCTATTGTTGTAAAGTTTGAAAGCAGGTAGAACTAATTTATGCTGATAACCATTAGGCAGTGGTGACCTTCTGTGGGGCATGCCTGGAAATGGGGTCTTAGTGTGTTCCTGGAGGATGGTCACATCTCTGTTGGTTGGGTACTGGATACACAGGTGTCTTCAGTTTGTAAAAATTCACTGAGCTGAACATTTATAATGCATATGCTTTTTTCTAAGTATATTAACCTTTAATAGAGAGCTTTCATACTTCTGAACCTCAGTGGGTGGACTGACATGAGAGGCTGTTCTGCTTTGTGGCCCTCATGGGCACCCAGCCACACTTTCAGAGCCTGGGCCAGAGGCCTAGGCAACACCGAAGAGGCCCAGGACCACCCTTACCTGCTGCATCCTGTTCTCTTGCCTCCTGCTTTGACTCGGGCGGTTGATGAAAGATCGTGTGGACACTTTGTAGTGATTCAGCAGGCAGACAATGACCACAACCATCACTGTAACCACCACAATGATAATGATGATCTGGGCAAACTCCAGCTCCGCTGCAATGAAAGAGGAGACTGTGTTAAACCACATGCCCTTTTGCATCATCACTCAGTTCTCCAGATCTTGTCTCCTCAAGGCACTCTGATCACGACAACCACCAGGCATCAACAGCCACTTGCATAAATCTGGTCCTCATAAGAACCTCATGAAAGTGAAACTATTTTCCACAGGCCTGCTGCCCAGGGCCACTGCCAGTCTTTGACATTCTAATAACATTTAAACAAAGGGAGACCCAGGCATGGGGCTCACTTTCTGGAAGACCTCTGGTGCTCAGACAAACCTTGTCTTTGCAATTTTATAATAAGAAGGGCAGTAGGAAAAATGTATTCTATTGGCCCTACAAGACCTGTAGAGGTGCTTTGCTATAAGTTACACCATTTCACACATGAAACTCACAGACCAGCCCAGTGCACATGACACAGGCTGGCTGCCACCTAGGGTACCCTTTCCTACTATGCAGGCAAGCCCTTAAGGGTTGTATCTTAGGGTATAAAAAGTTCAGTGCTCTCCATCACCTAAACTCCATCCTGCCAAATGACATCCTCCTCTGTGCATCCTTAGAGGAGTTAAGAAAGCCTGTCAAAATTGGAGCTGTTTCTCACAGGGTAATCTCTCCAGAAAAGTTAAAACCATTTTTATGGTTGTGTCAAATTTCCCAAAGCACACCCACACAGGATCCACAGAAAATATATGTTTTTAAAAGCTCCAACTTCCTTTCCTCAAAGCTGCTCCTTTGGAAGTAATTTAGAAAAATAACATCTTCACTGCCTCCAACTCTGCAGGCACCATATTCTGTGAGCAGTCAGGTCACCACTGGGTTTCTGACAATGCCATTACAAATGATTTTCTAAATTCCATTAACACATGCTTCACACATGACTATAGTGCCATGGAGCTATGTCTACGAAGCAGCACAATGAGTTGGCAATGAGAGGAGTAGGTGATTCAAGCCCTTCAGTTTTGCAGGAAGAAAACAAGCTCAATGCTCAAGGTCAGCTCTAGAACCCAGACACTCTGCTTTTTGGCTTCCAGCTCATGACTGCTGAGTGGTTGGTTACCTGTTTTCCTCTGAGTCTCCCCACTCACTAAAATGAAGTGACTGTTCAGGCAGGGACATCAGTTTAAAGAGTGAGAAACCCAGGAAGATGGTAAGAAGAACAGTGTACAACTTTTGTTTTGAGATGGGCAGTTATGGGGTATAATAAAGGGCAACAGAAAGAGGGGAGAATTCTTTTGATTGTGCTACGGACTCAAACTTGCAATATATGCATGTATACATACTCACACACATATATGTATGCACACAAAGACACACAAATGTATGCACACACATGTGCATGAGATGCGTAGACACACTCATATTGGCATGATGCATTCATGCACACATATACACACGGGCATACAAATACACATGTGTATACCCATACATAAGATATGCACACACATGTATATGTACACACAATGCACAGCCTCTTGCTGCAGTAGGGCTCAAGCCACTGGCCAGTGGAGAAGCATTATCTCTCAGTAAATGGGATCACACTTGGATGATGCAAAAGGGGACTGGGTATCCCCTCTCCTGATGTCTGCTTACTCCATCAATACTCTGAGAATAAAGGGATAGGGTCTAGGCCATGTGGGGGTAGCTAGAGGGTCTTCCTGAATTCTACCATGTCATTCTACCTGTAGTTCTGTCCTCTACTCCTATCCTCAACCCCTACATACCTGAAGGACAGAGATTTGCACAGTACTTTCTGGATGGGGCTGGACTGCATTTGGCACAAGGCCTGTATGGGTGCTGGTCCAGAGGTGCACCTTGGAGAATGGAGACCTGAGTATGAGAGAACTGAACTGCTGAGCCCCATGTGGTGAGCAGGTGAAGCCAGGTAGGTTTGCCAGGTGTATCCCTTGCTGACAGTAAAAGGGCAGATCCCAGTGGGCACAGCTGACTGTGGAGACTCAGGTAGCAATGCCAGAGCAGTTCTAGAGACTGGCACTCAGCAAGACCCAGGTGCTGGGCTTCTTACTCCCCCTTCATAGTAGCACTGCTCTGTAAAGTCCTGAGGTCTAGTGGCTGATTGGAAAGGCCTCCAGAGGGCTTGGGTGAACAGTTCATCCCCAAGGGCTTGAGCATCTACTTCCTGTGGGGAAAAAGCCCCTAGGGAGTCACCAAATTTATATACACTGAACCCCTCCTCAGGACTATATGAAATCTTCATGATGGAAGCCTCCTGGAAAGGACTGAAATTTCTCCCAGAGGGAATAGGCTGAAACCTTTGCATTTGGGGTACAGATATAAGTGTGGCCTCATTTACCCTTGCAGGCTATGGGATGTGTGACATGCTTGTTAATCCAGGAACACTGTCTTCATGACTCTGCCTTTGCACATAACATTTCCACGTCTAGGACATCCTATGTCTTTTGGGGGTCTATGTGAAGCCACGTGGTTGGATACCTTTCTTCATCACTTGCAATGTAAGATGTCGACTGTGCCTTTTGAATCTGTCTCTTACACTAAACTATGACCAGAAACCTGTTTCTATTTATCTTGTATTTTTGGTATCAGGCTTGAGGTGGTGTCTAGAAGGTAGTTAAGTTCATCACTAAGAGGGGAATCAATGAATGACTCTGGAGCACACATGTTGAGACCAAGCTCTCTCTTCTAGAATGTGCAGCTCCACCTGCATAGGTATGCTCCCTGTGAGGATAGCTACTGCTGACAGGACTAAGGCCTGCATTGACCAAAGTGCACAAGTAGTGCAACTCAGCAGAGCTGTGTGGATCTGTGCAGAGGGGTGATCTACCAACCCAAGGCCTATCACCCCAGTGATAAGCAATTGACCTAAGGAGGCAGTTAATTCTACTTAGGTTAAAGGCAGCCAATGTAGCATGAAGACTGAGCCTCATAATGCCTTGTTTTACCAACTTTTATTTTTATTTTGTGGGTGAACTGCAGAGTTCATCCTTTCAGGTTAAATCATACCCTGAAACTGATATATATTTTTTTTCCCTCAAGAAAACTTTACTGCTTTATAGCTATGGAAAGAGAGGAAAGTAATAACTACATTAAGAGATGCCACACAAAGTCTTCATGGGTTAATTCTTCACTTGGAGAATGTCTTCCTAGGTTATCTTTCCTTAGGTATGTAAAGCTATACAGATAAATATTTACAGCAGAGTAATCCAATTATATATTCATAATTCTATGGACATATTGAGATATATCTGTGTTCCACTTGAAAATGATTTTATTATAAAATGACATTTAAAATTTAAACAGTATAGAAGGAAATTCTGTACAATGCAAAAGTTCACCTTTATGGGCCTGCAGCACTCCCAGTCACCCCTGCCCCATTCATCCCCATGAGGTGGGGAGCACAGTTTACCCATTGTGTTTATTTGTGTGTTGCCTATTGAATAAGGGCTTTTTTCTTATTTATGAATGGAATCATTGTTCTAGTTTTTTTTCACTTAATACATTACAGATATCATTAAACAAGAATATATATAAACCAGTCTCACTCTTTATGGTGGCTATCTACCCCAGAATATGAATATGCTAGAACTCACATTTTCCAAATGATGGATGTTTTGGGTTTTTTTCCTTTTCTTATTATGATCAGAAGATTGTGTGTGCATGTATATAGGCATGTGTGAGTGTCAATGTGTGAGTTGACCCACATTTGTAAATATTCCTATAGGAAAGATTCCTAAAATTAAAATATCTGGGCCAAGGATATATCCTTTTAAATGCTGATGGCTGCCGGGACCCTGCATTATAAAAAGGCTCTTGACAAAGAAAGGGCATGTTCCTCCAAACCTGCATTAACACTCAACACTCACCCTTTTCATTTGTATTAACCTGATTTGCAAAAGTATGTATTTTGTTCAATTTGTATTTCCCCAATTACTAGTAATTTTAGATCTTTTCCTATGGTTATTGGCAATGTATATTTTTCTTTTTCAAAATCATATTAGTTTATTTGTAGTTTTTCCATTATTTCACTTTCATTTATTTATAATCAGTCTTTACATATTATTGCTACAAATATTTATCTGTTACATGTGGTACAAGTATTGCCTCCTAGTCTTCATATCTTTAAACTTTGCTATGAGTTTCTTTATAGAAAATATAAATCTTTACATCATCAAATACTGTCTCTTTTTCCTTTACAGCTTTTAAGCTTCCTTAGACTGTCTTCTCCACTATTCTAAAAATATTTTTCTTCTAGGGTTTTTGTAGTCTGTATTTATATGTTTAGATCTTTATTCACTCTGGATTTGACTTTTTTTATCTGAGGCAGCAGATAGAACATTTAATATTGCCTGAAATGCATACATCTTCTAATCTAACATCATATTAAAAGTTCATTGGAAGCAATGGTGAGAAAGATCTCAGTTGTCGGAAGCAGTGTACAGAACCACCACCACCATTCTTTAAAGGGACTATTTGTTCTTAGGCTGCTCTTCACCAGCTTTGTTGTCAACATGCAGACCTGCTGGGCCCTGCCCTGCTCTGATGAGGTGCTGGCACCTGGAAGGCCCACCCCACCCCTCAATGTGTCCAGACTTGCTGCATTTCCCTCCTTGGTTCTACCCTCTTGGTCTGCTTAGACCAGCAGCTCTCAAGTAATTTGGTCTCAGGACCCCTCTATACTCCCAAAAATTACTGATTACTCCCAAAGAGTTCTGTTTGTACAATGACATCTATCAAAGTTTCCCAAACTTGAAATTAAAACTAAAAAATGTATTTACTCATTAAAAATAAACTCATTACATGTAATATATATAACACAATAAAAATTGTATTTTTCAAAACTAAAAAATTTAGCAATGAGTGGCATTTCTTTACACTTCTGCACACCTCTTTAACATTTGTCTTAACAGAAGACAGCTAGATTCTCCTCTCTGCTTCACTTTCAATCTGTTGTGACATGTTGCTTTGGTTGAGATATATGAAGAAGATCTGGCCTTGGTGACCACCTGGACAGTCTTGGGG